AGGAGGAGGGTCGTGTTACTCTCTACACTGCACTCAACCTGAGGGATTCCTATACTTTCAGTCTTTGAGGAGACATGAAAAACAGCGCATATCGCAGGAACGGTATAACGGAAAATATTAGCGGTTTTGAAACTGTGACACTTTCAAATCGCGGTATACCTTGAAACCGGTAATCGGCCCCTGCCTAATGCAGAACAGAACATTTTTATTCGCAAACATGTCTGTATTTATACAAATCGCTGCACAATCATTTAATCCCGACTTCCACAGACTCAAATTGAAAGGCATTTGTTTGTGGTTAGTAAGATACATGTATAAAATGTATGCAGTACATGCAGGGCCGTTTCTAGCCAATTTGACGCCCTAGGTGAAATCCTTATTGCCCCCCCTCTGAATGCATTATTTGTAAATTGACTGTTAAGATAAACATTTTGCACAATTTAGTATCTGTAATATCATTCTTCAGCCATCATCAAGGGCATTCATTGATCAAGGACCCACTGTACTATGTAATCAAAGCCAAAAAATGTAAGGCAGATGGTACTGCAAAAACAAAGGAGATCAAAAACAGAAAAGACAAATGTTTCCGCTTTAAAAATGAAACGTAAATTATTCAGCAACAAAAATCCCACAGTTTGCGGTGATGTTCTAGTGTGCTCAACAGCTCAGAGAAGAAGACAGCAAAAGTATGCTGCCTATACTTCTTAATTTCTCCTTCATGCGTCCTGGAAGAGATGATTGACAGACAGGAGTACAAAAGTGCTTTGTACAAAAGACACACAAGGTGCACTATGTTCACTGAAACCTAGACCTCAGGGGCTGACATCTTATTAGAATCTAATTATGAAGATGTTCTCCCTCCTTTTACAGCTTTGTTATATATTCAAGTACAGTACAATACGACGACTGTGGACAAATCTGGCATTCATAAGAAGAGGGATACTTTCAAAGTCACATGAATAAAGATTTTAGAATGGGAAGGAAATGTCAGGATTGAGGGTTCACAGCATGAATGACGCCATTAGATTTGAATTTAGTATGCACAATAGATTTGTATGACAGCTAACCAGAGAGAGAAAGAGAGAAAGAGACAATTGTGTTGAGTGGGAGCGGTAATAACTGTGGTAGCTGGAAGGGGGCTGTGTGAACAAGCTGCTGTGTGGGATTCGCTGCCAAAAGCTTCGTCACAAAATGAGTCCATCGATCTGCTGTAGTATGTGCTTCAATGAGCCATTTGATGTCCTATTAATGCTTACTGCACAACTTCTGTTTTTCCCCACAGTTCACCAGAGCAATAAACACATTAACAGCCAGATGAGAGAAAACACACAAACGTTTACACGTGTTATGAGCATGACATATGGTGTGCATTGAGCTAATGTCAACATAAATATGCAAAACAGAATAATCGCACATGACCGAGTGCGTAATCGTGCACCTCTCTTCAGCAGCTTTGAGCTCCCCTGCTGGAAAATCCAGTTTATCGTGTTTTTTTGGAACATGGTTACTGGTTTCTAGTTGGACCAAGTTGGTAATTGGCTGGTTGACCAGCCAGCATGTTCTAAAAACCAGCTTGAGCACCATAAACTGGTACGACCAGTTGGTTACTGGTTTGTTGCTGGTGCAAGATGGTGTATAGATAAAAGATAATGACAAAGCTGTTCCAAAACTACTACTACGAGCTTAAACCAGACTTTCTAGCCAATTCAACAGAGCCAATTCAGTCAACTACAAATGAAAATACATAAACTGGCTGCATTCCCTCAAAACAGCCACCCAATCACTCCTGCACAGACATGTGCACTTTCAATTGAGCCTAACAGGCCACTGGCTAGTACACAGAGAACATTGTGAGCGTGTTGTCTAGCTGGAAGGGGACTTGGACACAGCCAGCTAGAAAAGGGGATTACAGACAAATCTGTCTTCTCTCGTCTCAGTGTTGCTCTTGAAATGCTCTCCGGAATTTCTAATGTGAATCTCAGTCAGGTGAAGCCTGGCTTGCATACTGAAGGATCAGGCCGTAATGACTTCACCTTGACTCCCTTTAAAATCCATTAAACATTTATGTTAGAACTACCTTCTAATAAAGTTTCCAGTTTTTTAATAAACCCTTCCCGTATACAATTTCCGGCATCTTTTAAAGAAAAGGAGAGAAAAAAAAAGTCCATGACCTAAAGACAGCACCAAACAGGTCTATGACTAAAACTGAATCTCTGAGGAATATCTCTGTACATCCACTGCTTAAAATAACATTTAAATAAATTTTTTGTTTACTTGGCCTTTATAGCCTTGTTATTTTAGAATAATTACTATTACTATTATGATTTTTGTTCACTTGGTCTTGATAGCATTGTTATTTTAGAATAGTTTAAATACTATTATAATATTCATTAATACTTTGAATTTAGCTTTTATTTTTCAGTTTTATGTTTTATTTCAGTTTTTCTATTTATATTATTTCTGTTTACTGCAGGTTTAATTTCTTTTTTTGTTCAGTTTTAGTTTTAACAATTTTAGTACTTTTAGTCATTTTTGTTTGCAGCTTTATTTCAATGAACCAAAACCATTTTAATAGTTTTAGTTGACAATAACAATACTGCTTGATAGTACAGGGCTGTAACAAATTGAAAGTCATGTGTCTTTAGTAAGAGTAGTTTGTAAAAAACTGTAATACTTGACTGGAAGATGCTTACAATAAAACAGATGACTATCTCTAAAGGCTTTCAAAGGCCATTTACTGTAAATAGCCCCACATACTGAGACTTTCAAAACAGCACTTACCAATAAACATTATAAATGAGTTTATTGTAAGCAACTAAATCACTGAAATGTTTCAACTCCACTCTAAGCTCCTTTTAACATAGTGAGCTTTTTCCTGATGTCCACTTACAATCAAGTATTCTTGCACCAAAACAGAGGCTATTTAGTGTTACATGAACTTTTTTCACTCTCTCTGAGGCTGCAGGAGTTTTGCTACTGTACCTTTTAAATCTTATGATCAGTTAGACTACTAATGTAGTTCACACTTCTAAAGTGGGGTCACAATTAACATTTCTCTGTAAAATTTTGTGAGCATAATCCAATTATTTCAATAGAAATAGAAATCCATGTGAAAATGAGCTTTGCACAGATTCTGTCTATTAAAAATGACTGCATTTCACTCAAAAAGTCCCCAAAGCAGATGTAGCTCTAATTCAATTTGATGACGCAAATATACTGTTGACCAACAGAAATCAGGCTTAAAAGTGACTTCGATATGAGTGGTGCTTCATATATTGCTACACCATTTACAATGGTGTTTTGCCAAAATTGCACCAATGTGACCGCATCTTTAATCATTAGGCAGGGCCAAATTTGTTCTATGTTGAATAAGCAGTGAGAAGTAAACATTAAAGTAAAGAAGATATTTCTGTGTCCATACAATATCAGTCAGTGGCCACCAAAACAGTTTGGTAACCAACATTCTTCCAAATATTTTCTTTTATGCTACACAGAAGAAAGTATGTTTCAGTTTTAATGTTGGGTGATTCACGAGCATTAAATGTAACCGAATCACTGAACCATTTCTCTTTTAAATGTCTACACTTTTGTGTCAATTTGCTTTTCTACTGACAGTCAAAGTGGCTATTTAGTGTTACATGGCCATGTATCAAGAATCACTGGTCATTGAACTGAAGGGAAGTGGATGAGTCTTCAATCTGTCTCTATGAGGAGCTTTTCTGGTCTGCATTCATCTCACCCTGATCCTACACCACTGAAGACCACAAATCATCACACTATTAGGCTCTGTCCCCATCTGCAGCCTGACTCTGTGGAGGTGCCCTTGGGAGACAGCCATCCTAAAATCACAACCTGTCCTCTTCTCGTCCAATCCGCCCACCCCCTGAGACTCTTGACCAATAACAGGGCTGAATTAACATGCCACTTGCAGCTCCCGTCCTGCAGCGCATTTGATGAGGAGGTGCGCTGTCACCTCCCATTCCCATCAAACCGCTGGGCCGATGTGCTTTGAGATTGAGTTACAGCCCTGTGTGTTCAGTCGGTCAGAGAGAGACAGCACTCACGTCTGCTGTACATGCTGTCTTATGCTCAGGACGGAGCGACGGCTCTGTAATAAATTGGAAAGTAATGGACTAAAGCCGGAGATGAGGGAGGCATTTTTCTGCCCCTGCCTCTGTTCCGTGAAATATGGCTATTCTGGAGAACGGGAGAGAGGAAAGGTTCAGATCTATGGCGTTGTGTTGAATAGTTCTCCCAACACAACTGCAGTGTGTGACAGAGCAAAATTTTTATGTTAGCTCTCAAATCAAATGTGGGGTTATTAGACATCAAGATTTGACAGTGACATCAAACATCCTTGGTTCTCATTGCTAAAAGTCTGGCACAATTAACTTAAACAACAACTTTAATAATTTACCCAGAAATGAAAGTTCTGTCATCATTTACTCATCTTCATGTGGTTAGCAGTCTTCTTCTGAGGAACACAAAAAAGCTAATTTTGAAGAAAGTTTCAACTAATTGTCCATATAATAAAAGTCAACAAAGTACAGACATATGAAAACACTAATCATCAGATACATCCACAGACAACATAAAATATGTAGAAACAAACCCGTTATTATGTTTGTTCATGTGATATACTAGAACCAATAAGAATGTCAGTCGACAACTGAGGGTTGTGTCACCACATTTGATAAAGTCTATACATAGTCTTTGATTTGAGAGTGAATTGTGGCTTAAATTCTGATCTGTTCATCATACAAAGTGTCACTTCAGTCGCCTTGAGCCACCTTTACACCATCTCCAACAAACATCAGACATTCATTTCTGATGGAAAGTAATATAGGAGCTTTTTAAACTTTTGTGGCTGGACCCTATTTGACCACCCGACTGGATAAAGCGTATGATCATGAACACAAACTGACAAGTAGTACCAATATTTTTTTGCCCTACAATGTAAATCCTTAAACACAAATTCTGTAAAATGGGTAGTTATGAATAATTGTGGACAAAATAATTATTTTATAATTATTTAAGTTGATTAGCCCTAGAAAAACTACTTAGGCTTTCTTTCAAACATTTATTTTGTGCGGATGTATATTTATACATTCATTATTCATTCATTTTGATGTGGTAAATAAGCAGAGGGCAACAGCTGCTTTATGACAAATTTAAAACTTACATCTGCCACTAGGGGTTGAAATGTAACAATGAATTGTTTAGATTCAGTCAGGTGGAATGGATTCATTTCTCTGGTTCTTTTGGATTTTGAAAGTTCTGGACTACATTGAATTTCATTTAAATATTCTTCAAAATATCTACTTTTGTGTTCCACAGAAGAAAGAACATAATGAGTTTGGAACGACATGAGGGTGAGTAAATGATGACAGAACTGACATTTCTTTCTCTTTAAAAGTGTTGGTCATCAAGCAGATGTCAGCCATAATTACTCAACTGATGTGTTGGAGTTAGATGAGTCGATGCGACTGGCTTGCTGCTACCTGATGCTGAGAGACCACTGAGACTTCACTATGATGCGCTCTATGATAACCTTCATGACACTGATGGTATCAATGTGCAGAGTGGACTTGTGAGAGCCGATGCCTGCTCTGTACTGGGACAGGGAGTTTGATGTTAAGAGTATCAGCAGCCACCGCTCAGGGACTCCGGTAATGTGCTTAATTTTAGATAGTGATCAGCTCACAGGGCATATTTAAGGATTTCTGCAGGGAAGCAGAGTCATGCATGCCCTGTTTTAGAGAGCAAGGCGACCCATGAGCATGACATGGTTGAGTCATTTGTCAAATAGGATTGAACTACACGCAAGTACCTCTGTGGTGTAAAGTGTTTGAAATAATTATCATCTTAGTCAGAACAGATATTTAATTTCATATAAACAAAAATAAAATTGGTAAGGGATAGAAGTAGAGTTTGTTCAATGTGTATTAAATGGATATATCACCCAAAACTGAATTTGAAACTTCGGTAAGATTTTTTTTTACTGTGCAACACAAAAAAAATATATTTTGAAGAATGTTGAACCAAACCATTTTAGTGACCGTTGAATTTCATTATATGGACAAAAAACACTGTGGCATTTCTCACAACATCATCTTTCAAGGTAGAAAGTCATACAGGTTTGGAACGACAAGAGGGTGAGTAAATGATAACAGAATTTTCATTTTTGGGTGAACTCTCTCTTTACAGTTTTGGACCATGTATAATGTTCACAATCCAGTTTACATAGTTTTTTTGTCCAATGGAAATGTTTTGGGAAAATATGTTTTTAATCGGCTGAGAGAATAACACTCAGGTACACAACAATATGACTACATCAAGAATCACGAATGGAAAACATCTGGGAGTAAACTGCTCATAAAACCATTGTTATGTTCATTTTGTTATGTTCATTTACATAAGATTTAATATACGCAACAGTATATGCAAATATTTCCATGTTTCTTAGATTAATTTCCAAAGTCTTCAAATGTCTTCTTTTGGCTTCATTTACACTGCAACTGAATATAGCTCAAATATGTGTTTTTCCACCTGTGAGAAGAAAATTTGCTTTTCTTTACCAACACCTCTTCTCTTCATTGTGTTAAATTAAATCAATCTCAGTGAATAATTAGCCATTAGGATTAAAAAAAAAAAAAAGCAATTAACCTCTGAAAGATGTTGCAATGAACCCCCAAACAACTATAACTCACCTGCGGGCTGAACTTTGACAGACGTCTTCTCCGACTCTTTCCGGGTCATGGCGTACCAGGAGTGATCTGGGTCCTGGATCCATTCCGAGGCTTCGCAGTAGAACTCTCCCTGGTCTGTGGGCTGCAGTTTGTAGATGGTGAGACGGTAGGAAGTGGGGCTGGTCTTGTCCAGACGCAGGTCTCCTGAAGACAGACGTTGGCGGTACTGTCCAGCCGGCCGTAGAACAAAGTCCCGTGACAGGGTGACCAGGTCACGTGGACCAGAACTGGGGTCATCAGAGGGTCGCAGGTACCACCCCACAGAAACGTGAGTGTGCTGAGACGTCTGGCGTGTGACCTCACAGCTCAGCTGTAGCGTGTCCCCCTCCACTTTCGAGAGAGTCTGAGCAGTGCCCATCACCGTCAGAGTGTCCGGGATCACTGTGGAGGAAACCAGGGCATGAGGTTAGTTTGAGAGTAGAGTTCATGAACAACAAAACACACCCTTAAAGGCATTCAGTCCTTGTCCCATTAACATTTAAACAGGATTCTCTCCTGTAGGGCGGCTCAATCTCAACCCTTTTATTAACTTATAGCCTCAAGAAAAAACAAAGCCTCTTTTTGTCCTCAACAACCCCTCACACTTCTTCTTCTCCCTCTGTCAGCCTCTGGGTCCTTATCCAATAAAATATGGCAGAATTTTTCGAAAAACAGAGTATGACTACAGAACAAACTGAAAGATGTACTTTGTTGGGGCCGAAACATACTCTGCACAAGTACCTCAATGCAAATGTTTCATGCTACTAGCGATGCATCAGTATTAAAATTCTGTCTGAAACCGATAACTCATGTTATGACTGCTAACCAATTAATGGCTAGTATTAAAAATGTATTCTATTTTCTTTAAATAAATTCAAAATAAATGAATGAAACTAAAATCAATAATTTTTAAGAGAAATTAAATTATTTTAAATTAATTTAGGCACCACAACATTATAATGTATAGTATGAAAAATAGATATTCAAGATTACATTTAACAGTGTTATTAAATTAGAGGTAATTTTAAAGATTAACTTTAGATGACATAAGATGTAATCTAAATGTATTAATAGGCAATATTATATTCATGCATCTCTATTAGTGTTATTTTAGTATCATTTATATTACAGTATGTATAAGTATTTTTAATTAGCTTTTGTTTAAAATATTTTTTTTTATTTAAACAGTTTTATTTTTTGTGTTCATTTTATTTTTTATTTTCATTTTAGTTATCTTTCAGTTTTAGTTGTAGTAATTTTGTTAAGTGCTTTTGTAATTTTTACAAGTCTAGGCTTTTTATTTTAATGAAGATATCAATATAAATAGATAGTGATAGTAATATAAAGATTTTTTTTTTATTTTATTTTAGTTTTAGTTTAGTATGTTTAGTATGTCAACTTCAACTTATTTATTTTATTTAGTTGCCATAATATGAATGAAATCTGTATTTTTTTCTTCATTTATTTCAGCTTTATTTCAGTTAATGAAAACTACTTTTAATAGTTCGTTTTACAATACAGCAATAACAACACTGATCCCTACTAGCTACACACACTCAAATTTCGTTCACAACATTGTATTCCAAAATGTGTCAGACTGAAATGTAAGCGCACACTGTTATTCTCAGCATTTCCACGAGAGAAGCTACAGGTAATTAACTTACAGCACATCTGGTTTAAGGCACATCTATTTAAATATAAATGTAACACTGTCTAGAGTACGAGTGTTTGTAAGAGGACACATTAAGTATGCATTTGTTTACTTGCCTTTAGCGCGTTTCTGGCCCTGGGTTTAGTCTATACAGTTCTCCTCTTTCTCTTGTGTGCAGTGCTATAGGCTCACATATGTAAACAACATGCTGCAGATGCACATGAACACATGTTTGCATGAAGCTGGGGAAGCATGAAAGGAGAGCAGACTCATGACTGCAGATAAACCAAGCACACAAATACAGCTTTCTTTTTTCATGGACAGCTTGCTATGCAAACGTGCGGCCCGAACCCACGCTCACACACTCCAGCTCAGCAGCAGGGCATTCCAGCACATCTCTGACACCACACTACCATCCTTTAGCGGTGAGCCACCACAACATGATATTCTGCATCTCATTACCGCTAGACGTCTCCATGCAGTGCTAACATTGATTAGCACCAGTCAGATCTTCAGACTGGGAACGGCGTCTCACAGGCTGCGAAAAGAACAGCTCTGACATCACTGTGCGAGAAATGGATTTTTGTGACAAACCAAAATCCTGGAAATAAACCTGTGTGACATCTTGAAAACTGCAGCCACAATATTTATCTGAATGAGGCGCTGACAGCTGACAGTGTCTCCAATGCCTCAAGTTTCCTTTTCCAGGACACTTAAAAAAAAAAACATTACAAATCATAAATATAGCAGGCCTTTAGCAAAATTAAAGGCACTTTATAGTTATTTAAGCATGACTATTTGTAGATTTCGATCAAACCTTTTGCTCATCTGTAGCAGAGATGAACATTTATTTAAATGACTTCCCAAAAATAAGTGTGGCCATAAAAGGTAATCGGTATAACACAGACTATGCGCTTATGGATGGATCGTACATCACTGGCTCAGCTCCAGGCTGATCATAGGAGTGGCATGGAAATTTAATCCTGCTGGCAGTGCGTGATGAGGTGCATCTGGTGCTTTCTGCACCTTGTCACCCCTTCCATGAGTCCAGCATTGCATATGTCCAGCACTGAAGCAGGTCCAATGTAAATGCATCCAGCCATTGTTTGGAGTAGCATGTAATGAAATGTTCCTGGTGCACTGTGCACCTTGGTAAAATGGTTTTCCGAGTGCTTGATGCATGTACCTGGCTTAAGATTGCTTGTCAACAATCAGGTTGAAGAATATCTAATTAAGATCAAATTATTAAAGGGTTAAAGTGAAATTAACTGTCTACCTGAGATTGGAACGCATTCCTGTAGCTTAACACGCTAGCACATGGATGTTGTTTGCAATGACAAAGTTATGGGTTTAATATGCAGTGAATGCATTAATTGCTTAAACACATAATTTGTAAGTCATATTATAAAAAAGTAGGAATGCACATTTCTACATTTTCTACAACTAACTGTTTGATGTTATAGCCCATAACTGATAAATGGCTTAAATTCTATATTATTTTGTTTAAATGAATTAAAATAAACTAAAATTAACCATTTTAAATGATATAGTATAAGTGAATATATGGATCACAACATCATAATGTACAGTATAAAACAGACGGTCATGTGAATTAAAGAGGTTTTTACTTGTATAAAGTTAAAAAAAAATCTGATTCTCACTCATGGGCTCCTTGTATAAAATTTCTATTATTAATTAGATTTTATTGCTGGGTGTTTTATTTTACTGTATGTAATTTGTTGGGGTGTCGTTAATTGGGGTAATAATATTGGCAATAACTCATGGCGTTGTTATCCGAGTTTGTTATCTGTGCACTTGTTCTTCTATGAAGAAAAATCCAAAAAACATTTAAGTGTTCATGAAATTTGTACATTTTTTAAAAATGAACTTCAAGTGAGTGTTAGATGACAGCAACAGGTAATCTAAATAGAGAAAGTGAGCATGCACAATGATATATTTGACTAATACTGATAAATGAAAAACAATATAAATAAAACAAATTAAAAATGTGCACATTTAAATACAATATAAATGTATAAAAATATATAATAAATATATATAATATAGTATTGACTGATAACCAATATGATACAGACATATACAGACAAAAAGTGCCTGCTAAAAGCATAAAAGCAAACCATAATATGATCACTAATGCGATTATACGTTCAGCTACAGTAGCAATAAGAGAACACTACACTCAGCTCCATTTAACAAATTATAGCACATACTTTTCTTCAAAATCAGCAAAGAAAATGCTAAATAAAACTAAGCTTTGAACTGCAGAATGTGCAACTTGGTTCAGCATGGGCCACTTGATCACTCAAAAAAATGAACCTTTACAGAGAGCTGCATAAAAGCCTTTATAAATCAATCAGCCTGTCTCTCTCTCTCTCTCTGTGCAAAAGGCCCTGAATAAATGAAAACCTATTGAACTGAGCGAACGGACTCACACATACACTCCTTCGACATTTCTGCACTGTGAAAATGAATCCTCTTGGTTTACCTGCACAGGCATTGAGGGCATCTGCGGACGAGAGCTCAATTATTCAACTTCATGTTTGCTCACACATTATCACTCCTGAGCTAGAGCGCACGAGCCACACAAAAGGTACGCGACGCTAATGAAACAACAGCGAGCGGAGTGGGGTGGGGACACGGCTTATATAAAACTAATGAAATGGGAGAAAGACTGCGTGAGGGAGAGATGAGTGACGGAGGAGGAACAGCAGACGGCAGCGATGCAAATGAAACGAGGGGTAGAAAATGAAAGAACCAGAGGAAAGACGGCACTGTTTAACAGCAGGTTACTTCAGCGCCGCTTTGAAGAAGCACAGATGTTAGACACAAAGACAGAAAGTCAGAACAAAGAAGCAAAATAGTGAAATGAGGCTGAAAGGGAGGGCTGAGAGACTGAGGTGGTGGTCCTCCGCTGGGTTTTTTAATAAGAAAGCCCACGGTGTCTCTCACACCCTGACGAACAACCACCTCACGGATCACAACCTAGGTGGGGGAACACGAGGATAAAAATAGAGGGACTTTTCCATTTGGGCATCTGATTATTCTTCCATTCTTTTGTTGTGTGCATCTCGAAGAGTAGATGATGGTGTAGGAGTGTGAAAGAGAGCAACCGCTAACAGATTCCGTTGTGGAGGAGTGTGAGTGTGTGTTGGTATGTAGGCGAGGACCTGAGGGACAATCTTCACTACTGTAGAACCACGTACACCCCCGCACTCATCGCTGGCTCCATATAACCATCATGCATTATGATGTAAGTAATGGGAAAACTCAATAAGGGTTCTTTGTCTTAGCATAAACGCATGCTAAACAAACAATAAACCCAGAGTCTCTGGAGGAAACACGATCGATACTAAAATATCAGATATCATATTCTACAGAAACGAGCTCGTTACCATAACAACTACTCAACGAGAAAACAGCTAGCTGTTTCCATGCCAACATTAAATCCTCAACTTGTAAAGGCATAAAGATATTGATGGCATCAAACTACTGTCTCTCCAAGTTAAGTCACCAAATCAGGCCTGAAGCGCAAAGCTAGTGCTAATCTAATGCTATTAGCACTCAATTCACAAGCACACCAGGGCTGACGGAGAAATAGAGGGATCTCAGTTGGTGATGATTGCTTAACACTACCGTAATTAGTTTGAGCTCAAAATTTGAGAATTACAAATATCGAACAACTCAAAAGTCATATCCTTCTGGGATAAGAAGTCAACGGATGTGAGGTATG